ATTTTTATCTTCGATTATGTGCACCTTTGGGTGAATGTGCGTGTTTTTAAATCTTATAGGACCGCACTTCCATTCTAGTATTCGTATCTCTACAACACTCATCTTTTGATATGTGGGGCTTTAGCGGTCCAACATTTACTACCATATAATGTAGCCGGTCTAACCGTAGATAAAACAGTATATGAGAAAATGATAATTCTTTTCATGGTTATATATGCTTTGTGGATGTTCGTTCTTGATTTATTCTCTTTCTTATTGAATTGTTCAGATTATTTTATGGCTGATAATATGGTGGAAGCCTGTTCCAGTACTCGTCATCTTATCGAAGGCATTCTTTGCAGGTCTGTGTCTTATGGTTAACTTATTTTAGATATATTCTCTATTGCATGGATATGTTGCAACTGCACTGACACATTTTCTTTTGTACTTGCATTTTTTTGCAGGTGTATCTCTATTTGCAGCCTTGGGGTTTCTTCTTTATGGAGGAAGGTAAGATCTAATTTCTCTTACCAGGGATTGAGTCTGACCTCTAAAGGTGTTTGTTGGTGTAACCACACATCTTAGAAGCACAAGAACAAGCAACATTCATATGCCGTATATTTGTTTCTGTCCTTTGTTCTATACAGAGCCTTAAAACCTCTTTTACGAAAGCCTTAACCACTTTCATTTTCGTAAATGTCTGTTAGTTATGCAGTGTAATTGTTGTGTACTTTGCCCAAAATTTTCTTTTGGAAGCAATGATCTATATACCCAGATGCAAATCCATATATTTTAACCTTTCTGTCCTTTCTGAGATTAATTTAGCTGAGTCTCTGGGATCACCCTTTTCTGAACTTACGTATTTCCTATAATAAGCTGCATCCAAGGTAGTAGATATTGTTCAACCTCTGGTTTTCATCTATAGCAGTCCAAATTGCTATGCTTTACACCCTGTTTGTTGCCTTCCTGTTGTTGCCCAACATTTGACTATTTTCATGGTCACCATACTTGTATTCGACACATTGTGATTGATAACTTTGTTGAAGCACAGGACTGTGAGCTCCTTTTTCTTAACTTGCTCATTTCTCAGCCAAAAATCATAACATCTTAGCTGCAATTTTGGGCTCTCAGCGACAAAAATAAGCACTTGTAGTGATTTGCCCCTATGAATACATGAGACTCACTGCATGATAGAACTTCAATGTACTGGTATACAAGGATATAGTGACATTTTAGCTGCTATAATCGTCTAAAATTTTTACTTCGCTTATTCATCTACGAGATTTGTGCTAACAAAATCTCCTGCATTGTAATTTTGAGATGTGTTGTGTGTAACCTAATTTGGTCCTGATTAATATTGATATGAGTTCACTCTTTGCATGCTATGGGAAGTAGGTTCTACATGTTTGTTTAGTTTGTCCCTTCGCCTTCGGTTCATACACACTTCAATATAGTATGTGGATAAGTCATGTGCTCTTGCAGGCTTTTCCTTATGTTACGGCGTTTCCCTGTAGAATCAAGGGGGAGACAGAAGAAACTTCAGGAAGTATGTCACTCACTATGTAACTTTCATTATTAAATTGCTGTTCTTCTTGTTTTTATGTCATTTAACTCTACCTGAATATTTTGGGATCTGCAGGTTGGTTATGTGACAACAATATGTTTTTCATGCTTCCTGATTAGATGCATTATGGTAAGACCACATTTCTTGTTAATAAACTATTCTCAACTGAATTAGGACCATACCACAAAAAGCCTAAGGAGTCCATCCACATTGTGATGTGTGATTGACCTCTGTGGGGTTCTTCCTATATGGTATTTTTATATTGCAAGTATTGTTGTAAATTAGTCTTAGTTTATACTTCTAGGATTTCAACTGAAGTTTTAATAAGGTAATGAAACTAACTTTGTTCTATCCATCTTACTCTTATTTCTCTTATTGTTTGCATCGCAGATGTGTTTCAATGCATTTGATAAAGCTGCGGATCTTGATGTTTTATATCATCCAATGTTAAATTTTGTATACTATCTGGTATGTTCTAACAACACTGAACCTTTAGTGTTAACTTGCTTTGTCTCGCACATTATTCTTTATGTTCCAGTGAAGAGGATCAACATTTGCAGTTAGTAAGTGTAAGGGACAACCTCCAAATCATAGTTTAATTGGATAAACGATTTGATTTGCCAGCTTGTCGCATGCTACACCCTGTTTTCATATGTCAAAACTTCTTCCCCAGGTCCTTTTTACCTAAGTAATTCCTTTGTCAGGAGCTGAGAGGTTCTTGTTTAGTCGATGGTATTTTGGTTTGCGAATCTCCAATTAAAAGCATTGTGGTCATATTGTTTCTGCTCGTGTCTTCATCAATGTTGTGTTTTTTGCTTTCGTTGAACCAAGGGTCTATCAGAAACGACCTCTCTGCCTGCCAAGGTTGGGGTAAGGTCTATCTGTACTCTATCCTTCCGAAACCCCACTTGAGACTATATTGGGCATGTTGTTTTTATCGCATCTTGGTGAAACAATGGATGTAGGAGGGTTGAGAGTGTGTATTGAATTCAAAGTCATATTTATATAACTCGTGTCCTACCTTAGGTGCATTTTGATGGGCATTTGACTCGATGAGTGTTCGAAATTTGGACTTACATTTTTAAGTGCTTAAAAAGAAGTTTATATGTTTTGAGGATGACCAGACTCTGTCAACTCTTTGCAGTTGGTAGAGATTCTACCTTCTTCACTTGTCCTTTTCATTTTGAGGAAGTTGCCTCCAAAGCGAGGGATCACGCAGTACCACCCTATTCGCTGATACAACAGCGTGCATCGGATGATGAAATCAAGCGCTGGGATCAGGTTATCAGATGAGTTGGCTTTTACGATACTCGTCCTACCCATATAGTGAGATACTGTACATGGAGCATGGTTCATCAGGACTCTGGAAAAATAGTTTGTTCTCTGCAGATATTAGTTGTGTCTGTAATTTGTTTGTAGTCTTGATACAAGAGTTGTGGAAGAAGTTGTGTTATTTCTAGTGTAATTATCTTCATATTTGTATGTTTGAGATTTCAATTGATTATTCTTTTCCCGTTTTTTGTCTATCGGAAACAATCTCTCTTACTTCTGAGATAGGGTTAATTTCTAGGTACAATCTATCCTCTCCAGGCTCCACTTTGTAGGACTACGTTGGGTATATTGTTGTTGTATTATTTTCCCGTGTTTCAGGGTGTACTCGTTAGGAACACTCATAGGTTTTTCTTGGTTATACAATCAGACAATCGATTTGTCTATCTTGGATCGGATTCTACGCGATTCGGTATATTATTTGGTGCATTTATTAAAAATAGACATTTCATTGTATTTATCGGATTTATAAAATCGAATGAGTAATATATTTACCTTCTACCCGTAGTATTATATAATTATATAAAATAGTAATCGTTGAATTTAGAGTTTAAAATAGGAAAAATTACATGAATAAATATATTTTTAAAAATAATTATTGATTTTAGCGATATTTTTTGTTTATTATCATTTATAGCAATACTGTGATAAATTTGTAGTATGCATTAAAAGTGAATTATGTATGTAATATATTTGAATTATAATTGTTTTTGAAATATATTATGTTTGTTTGGTAAAAAATTATCACATAATATTAAAAATATATTCAAATGTGTGATAAATGTTTATCCCTCATTAGAAATTGTATTATATTTGAATAATAAATTTATCTTTGTAAAAGTAGTCAAGTGGGAAAAAAAAAATGTTATTGCTATAAATGATAAATATTTTTTTTATTATAGTATATTTATGTTTAAAATAATAAGATTAGATTAATACAGTAGAATATATTATACCTTTAGTCTTAAGAGGCTTGAGATGCTGCAGAAAAGGAATTGAGTAACTCCTATTCAGTTTATATTACACAATTTTTTTTAATCGATTCAAAAAAAATGATACATTTCGTTGTTTTGATAATATTTATTGGCATTATCGATATTTTAGTTATGTTGGGTCTCACTTATTTGATAAAAGGTCTATGAACGTATAAGGTTATTTTTGAAACATTGCATATCTTTTCGTATTTCTTAATTTTTTTGTCAATTAAATTATGTCATATAAATTGGGAGGGAACAAAGTTATTTAAACCAGATCAGTGGTGACCATCACAAGAATACTGGTACTTTTTTGAGATTTTCTCAATGCATAGTATGATTTAGCATATGACAAAACGATCAGAGAAAACAGTGATCGCTTAAAATGAAACGTTGAACTTACTTCTTAGTACCAAACCAAACTTTCTAGAGTTGATTTGTTTGTTCCGACTTCCAAGGGGATGAAAGTATGAAAAAGGACACGAGAGAATATATATTCAAATGTGAGAGTTTGTGTGTGTATAAATATATCGTAAACAATCTCTCTGCCTTGTCAAGATCCCCCCTCGATTTTGATCGTTTCTACATCTGGTTTTTTTTTTGAATAATTTGACCTTGTTCTGTTACAGGTGGGGCGGATTGGTATTCAGCTGCTTCATACAGTTGGGGCTGGTCATCGTTTATGCGATGTTGTGAATTGAATGATCGCTTTCTTATTGAAGACTGTTGCATTCTTGAAGCTGAGGTTTCTGTTGTTGCTGTCGTTAATTGTTTAACTTAAAAATCTTTGTATCTAGACTTCAATACGCCCCTGTGAGACTATATTGGGTATGTTGATTGGCTTTAAAGCATCTTGGTGGAACAAGAGTTGTGTTATTATCTTTCATATTTGTATGTTTCAGATTTCAATTGATTATTCTTTCCCCCCATCTCTTTTTTCCTTGAGTCGGAAGGTCTTTTGAAAACAATCTCTCTACCTCTGAGGTAGCGGTGGTGTCTTATGTACACTCTACCCTCCCCAACCCGCACTTTGTAGGACTACGTTGGGTACATTGGTTTTGACTGGGAAACAGGGGTTTCACAAGAAGAAAAGCCAGTTTGTGTGCAATCGCGCAGGACAGGCTAGACGGGGTCAGTGATATTTCTCACAAGGCAGACGGGCATGCAGCACTTATGCACGAGCTAGAGATGATCGCGCAGTGCATGAGACAGTCACAGTCCCAAAAGTAGGGATTGTGACAGTAGAACTTTTGGATTGTGACTGCGCGATCACCTCAAAGTATTAAGTGCTGTGGCTGAACTCATAGTATAGGTTGCACAGCTTAAATAAGTTAACAAATCAATAATTAATGGGCACCAGTAAAAATGATCAAAGTTTAAAGATCTCAATTCAGTGTGGTCAAAGGAAACAGAAAGACGTTTCAAGCGAACTTAAAGAACATAGTTAAAGTGCTAATACAAAGATTTTTAAGTTAAACAATTAACGACACCAACGACAGAAACCTCAGCTTCCAGAACGCAACAGTCTTCAATAAGAAAGCGATCATTCAATTCACAACATCGCATAAACGATGACCAGCCCCAACTGTATGAAGCAGCTGAATACCAATTCGCCCCACCTGTAACAGAACAATGTTGAATTATTCAAAAAACAAATCAACTATTTTGTATGATCATCATTTTTTTCATGCTATAGAGTTGTGATAGATGAAAACGTTTTCTTTCGTATCAAACATTCAGTTCAACGCAGGAAATTTAAGGAACAAGAGTAAGTACCACTCCTCTTGTGATGTTCACCACCATTCTGGTTTTTGAGAGAAATGCTAAATTTTGCCTTGACTCTTTTTTGGCGATTGAATCCTTTAGCATCAACTGATTCAAGATAGACGGAGATGTTCTTACCATTTTCTCGGTTGTCACCTGTAGGATATAACAAAAGTTTCCTGCATATTCCAAACACATCAAGTACTCGTAAAGTTACAGTGTTTAAAGTAAGTTCAAGAGAAAAGAAATAACAACATATACCATTTATAACCATCACGAATAAACTGTTCAGAATAGTATACTTTTCTCTTCAATTTTGAAAACTCAGTAATCTTCCATTCGTGCTTATAAGGCTCGGTGCCATTCAATAAGGACATACATTCACCTATTCCCTGCTTCTTCACGACATATATGTCAACTCCAACGACACATTTGTCATCAACAACGTAACCATTAGTGGGATCTTTTAATGTTTCATGAGAGATACATTTCGAAAAGCCCCATACAGTCTTGATATTGTGAAAACGTCTCTCCATTCCTGCATCAAATAAGAATTTAGTAGTCCTAGACACAAAAATGAAGAGGCAAATAATATCAATAGAGTGAAAGAAAAAGAGTACATATATATATATATATATATACCTTTCATTACATTATAATTGTCATGAATTTGATCGAATATCACGAAGCTAAACGAGACATTCACCTCCCAAACAGCACTTTTCTCAATAATACCCAAGTATACAGATATATGACCTGCTCCATCTCCGTCTCCATCAGGATAAATCATCATTTTCCTATCACATGTTCGTGAAATCAATTTTAACTTTCTTTTCATACTCGTAGAGATACAGAGGTTGTTAGCCTTGCCTCAAATAACGGAGAAAGGCATACCTAACGTAACATATCATATTTAGCAGAATAATGCGATAAACAAAGCAGAGGTTATAGAAATAATCTAAGAACAAAGAACTAAGAGAACAAAACGAATACTATCTGTCTATAGTCATGTCCTCAGTGAAGCTGTGTCATATCATAGGTCCTGTCTAATCACCTCTCTTTAGTACTTCTTCGACCTAACTCTACCCCGTCTTTTAAAAGCAAAAATAAAGACAACGAAATGAAATTTAAAGTCTAGTAAATAATAATGAGATAAGTATTATACCAATTGAAGCCACCGGATTCGAACACATTTGATTCATACTTTGAAGTACCATTTTGTGAGAGCAATGAAAATGATTCAATCTTCCACAAGTAACGTGTTGGTAATGAATTTGTAATATTTTCCATGTTTACTTCTAAAGAAAAAAAACGAGATTTAGCGACGGATAAATTTTGTAGCTAAATAACACAATATATAGCAAAATATGTGATACATACCTACCATATTCTTTGTTGCTGATTAACTTTTATCGTATCAATAAACGGTTGATAATTACTTCAACCTTATGGCTATATATATATAAAAAAAAATGAAATAATTCATTACTATTATATGAAATAATAACCAAATGGACTCCTCCTTTTCTTAGCTTTCCTAGTCAATTAAGAGGTCTTCAATTGTTTTTATCTCAATATTTATCTATTCATACGATTATATAAGTATATTTAGCGATAATAAATATGCGTTAGAGTTTTATCATGATTTTTTTTAATCTTACGTGAGTTTTATTTTACTATAAGTATTTTAACTTTTCGTGAAAGGAAAAGTTATAGACCCTCTTGTTATACTAGAGGAACATAATAACATCTACAATTGAGTGATTCGTTTAGAGAGTTTTGTTTATGGATATATTTTCTCACAATATTTTTTAATTTTTTTTAAACAGTTAACATTTGTATATGATGTCACTACAACAAAAACAAATTTTAGCGGCAATAAATAAACATATTAGTGAAGAGTGTTTAAGTATTTACATAATGTTCTAACTGTCTAATAAAAAGGATTAGGCAATATTCTCATATCTAATCATATCGTATTTAAATACTTCTGTAACTACACTATCTACCCCACTATGCAAGTTGTTTAAGTATTTACCCCTACCTCATAGACAGTTCAAAAACAAGAACACTGAGATAGAACAACACATAGAAAATAATGGAGAAAGCATTACAAAGCATAATAATTACTCCCCGCATTTCAAAACGAATGACCTGGTTTGACTTGACACAGAGTTTAAAAGTATAAAAAGAATTTTGCATCTTGTGATCCTAAATTTAAGGTTAGGTTAAATATACAAAATTGTCCTTCGATCCTGTGACCTTAAATAAGAATATAAAGAAGAATTTTGCATCTTCTGGTCCTAAATTAAAGTTAGGTTAAATGTACAAAATTATCCTTTGATACTGTGACCTTAAACATGCCACATGAAAAACCGAAATTAAAATGTTACCCCAAAAAAAATAATTCTTTTTTAAACAGACTAAAAGGAAAGTATATAATTTCATACTAAACAGTAAAATTCCATACTAATCTCATTTAGCTATAAATTAGTGACAAATTACTAGAAAATTCAATTAGCAACGGATTCACTAGGGATTTTTCTTATCATAAGATTATGTACTCATTGAAATTATGTCATGTCATGTCTAATCAGGCATAATTCTACACCGTCATTAAAAGCAACTAGCAAAAACATACACACATAAAAAAATGAAACTGAAAGTTTAGTCAATTTTTTTTTTTTGAAGTTAATGATGAGATAAATACCAATTGAAGCCACCAGATTTGAACTCATTTGATTTGAACTCATTTGATTCAATCTTCAACAAGTAACGTGTTGGTAATGAATTTGTAATATTTTCCATGCTTACTTCTGAAATGGAAATTTAAAAAAAGTTAACATTTGAATATTATGTATACACAACTTTAAAAAATAACAGAATTTAGCGACAGATAAATTTTGTAGTTAATTACTATACCTCCCATGCCTCTAATCAATCACTCACAAATGAACTGTTTAATACTTGGATTATAATTACTTATGGCTATACATATATAAATCAAATGGACTCTTCATTTCTAAGCATTTAAAGGTGATTAATTAAGTGGTATTCATTTTGCTTTTATTCCCAAGGGTTAGAGGTCTCTTCACTTGCACCTTTAATTAATTTTTCCATCATCTCAAGACTCATAAACATAGATAAGATTGTATATATTGTGTATATTTTGAATATTTAAATCATAATAAAAGGTAGAGATAACTGATAAGATATGTGTATATACTATTTTTTTCATTTTATTTGACTATATTGTGTATGTTATTATTGTAATTAAGTGGAAATTATTTTCCATTTTGGCTTTAATGCATGGCCAATCCTTTAAATATATCAAAATGTTTTATTTAGACATTGAACTAAATAATCATATTCTAATCAAACATCAACTATTAATAATGTGTTTCTAATTAAACACTTTGTTAAAAAAAAATATTAAGTAATATTAATGTGTTTTTTATTTAACCATATAAAATATGACATCTCTTTTAATTATTACAATCTCAAATATAATATTAAAAAAAGAAGAAGATGTGTTTGTGACTTATTGATGCGGATTGAAGTGCATTTTATTATAGTTTGGGATTAATACAAGTAAGAAAGGGACCCTTTTGGCTACGACAATGGATATAGACTATAGATCGAATGGACCACTTAAAATAGATCAAATTAAAGGCAGTAAACATTTCGTAATCATTCATTCTCTTTACATGAAAATAGTAGTAGAAAATATCGTAGGTAAAGACTTCCATGTATTGCATTCATTCATCGGGTAAAATTTAGAATAGTAGGAAGAGGCTAAAAGAAACATTTTGAGGCCCACTAGCCATTCAACACGGCTAATGAGTTTAGATCGAACCAAGATCAGGTCTAACTGAATCAGGCCTGACCAGCAGATTGAGTAAAATCTCATCCCAAATATTCATAGTGTTTTTTATTAATTGTAATCATAATAAAGGAACGTCTCACAACAAAGCTTTGTATATTTCTACCCAATATCAGAATTAAGGTAGTCACCTAAACTTTGGTTGATTCAGGTTCTGGTTTGAACATTTGTAGCACGCTAACAAGATTGGAAGTGGATAGTTCGAATATTTTTTTTTATATAAATTCATTAAATATGTTATATAAATTTATCATATTTGGCTAGACAAAAGATTTAGAAAACTTTTTCGCTATATATTATAATAAATTATTTAACAAAAAAATATCTATTACAATGAATCATACATATACATTGTACTTTATGTATAATGAATTTATGTTTTTATATATAAATTCATTAAATATGATACATAATTTAGTAAGTTACAATGATTTTGATGTATTCAATGTACTTATGTAATAAATTTAATTTTTTACGTCAATTTAATAAAGGGATAATTGTATAGAATAACAAACTTATAATGTAAACTAAATACAGTAGCTATCGTTTGATTTATTTGTATTTCTTAGCAAACTGTTTGTCGGTATCACTCGCCTCTCTCGCTTTATATAATAGAATTGTATAAATTGTGTCTCTGTTTGTATAAAACGAGAGGAAATTGTATATACACATGCAAATACATATATCTTCTTCCTATACACTTATTACAAAATATTTCTTTGTCCAAATCTCTTTGGTCTTTCTCTCTTTCTCGTTTTATACAAATTCAGATTGTATATAATTTCTCTCTTTCTCGTTTTATACAAATTCAGATTGTATATAATTTCTCTCTTTCTCATTTTATATAATTCGATTCAACTGTATATTCCCTGTCCAAGTCTCTTTTGTCTTTCTCTCTTATATTCAAATTGTATATAATTTCTCTATTTCTCATTTTATACAATTCAATTCAATTGTATACAAATTTGAAGAGAAACCAACGAATTATACAATTGCTTCTTTGTATATATGTATAGAGAAATAAGCATAGCTTTCAATTTTATATGTATAGCGAATTATACATATATATGTTTGCTATGGAGCGCAATTGTACAAATTTTATTATAGTATACAAATTTGAATTTTGTGTTTGTTATATGTGAAAGTTGCCGAACAATAAATAAGATACATAAATTAGTAAGATATAATGATTTAATATAACGATTTGATATTATCAAATTAGCTTTTATTGAATCTCAGAACACTCTTTAAATTAATAACTACTACTTTATCAAATAAATAATATGTCTATAAAATAATATTTTTCTGCTTCAAATATTCATCTCCGTATATAACTACTATAATAATAGAAAATCATTATCAAAGAGAAAGTATATAGAGAAGTGTTGGGCACTATATAATAATAGAACATTATTAGCGATGAGATATTATTTTACTATTATAATACGATACATTATGAAAATATCGATATCCACCGTCGAAACAAAATGTTAGATATCTCCCAAATGAAGGATAATAAATAGAAATAAATCTTCATATACATTTCCGCCTAAAATTAAGTCCACTCTCTACTCTCACATATACAAAAGCACAAAATTTCTACAAAAATTTCATTTTCTAATGGCGGAATCCAAATTGGAATTGAAATCTCCACCAAACCCTAACTCCTTAATTGTATCAGCACAGCCTTCATCTCCACCGGAATCACCGCCGGTGACTAGCGGTGGTGGATTTGTTCCAGCGGCATGGTTCCGGCAACGGCCGAAGCTAAGAGTGACGACGGAGTTTGACAGCGATAGCTCTGTATTCTTCCACAGAATTTCATGCAAAGTGCTGGATAGTTTGGCGAAGTTGAAGTTTTCATTTCAGAATAATGGGAAGGGTGAGATATCGGATCCTCAATTGGCGTTAACTTCGAAGTATTTGTCACTTCATTATGATATTGAAGAGAAGAATGCTCTGGTCAATGCTTCGTTTGATGTGGCTCCTGGTTTGCAGTTTAAGGCTGTTCATGAAGTGAAGGTGTGAAATTTATACTGTTTTATGTAACACTTTTTTTTTGTGGGTACTGACTGAGTATTGGTGTTTGTGTTTTGATTATGGAGTTTTGAATTCTATGCTGCTTGACCTTTATTTGGTTTCTAATTTTATGTGAAAATAGAATACAACAACATACTCCGTATAATCCAACAAGTGGTGTTTGGGAGGGTAGTGTGTACACGGACCTCACCTTACCACAATCTAAGTTATGATTTCTATAGCTGAACATTGTTAAGAAATGCTATCACCGACCCTGCGTGAATGAGGGATGTTTAGTGCATTGGGCTTCCCTTTTGCGTTATAAATCCTAATCAAAGAGTACATTGCTTGGCTCACCATATTTAAATATATTGATGCTTCTTAATTGGCTTCTGGTTTGCATTTCAATAC